AAATTGGCTGCCATGTTTCCTACTTTGCACAACAGTGACTTCAAAAGTTCTTAATTTATTGTAAATTGTCTGGTAACATTCTGAGTTTGTGAAAGGCATTGTGTAAATACAAAACATCTTTCTTGCTTTTTGGATCTTTTTCACTGCATGAACATTTGGTTGAAAGATAGGAGGCTTTCATTGATGCTGGCTTAACACTTGGGCTGGGACCTGAGCATGTATAAATACAGAAAGTCTCATTTTGAGTTTAATATCACCTTTATAGGAAAGTACCTAACTTTCATGTTGCATCTGGCACATGTTGAGACTCTAGCATGTTTTACAATAAGATAACAACACATAAGATTACCATTTGGTAATTCAGCATTTCAGAACAATCAAACACAATTGTCTCTTATTTTAAATCAAACAAGAAGCATGTTTAGTATCAGTGTTAAAATTATACAATTGTGTTCACTCCTGTACTTTTTTGCAAATTGGCCTTCAGCTTAACTCTTCTGAACCTTTTCTGTTAAAGAACATAGCAACAGGACTAGACCATTGAACCCTTGTTTTACTTTTCAATTGGATCATGGCTGTTTTGTCCTCAATTCTATTTAACTAAGGCCAGTGAGCTGTGGACAACTGCTGAATCTCCCCTAGGAAATTGTGAGGAGACATAAAAATAGCAGTCAAGAGAGACATTGATGTGCCTGCAGAAAGGAGTTGTTGAGATAAGAGATGGAAATCGGGTAGCGTAATGATAATAAGGGTATCAAGGCGATGGTAGAAAAGGGAGTGTGAGTTATAGGTAGCATAGAGGAGGAATGAGGTAACAGTACAGTGGAAATTGTTGTGACAGTAAAGAGGAAAATTGAGGCAGCACTCAAAAGAGGGAGTAAAGGTAGCTGTGGAATGGGTTCAAGGTGTGAGAGTGAAGAGGGTTGAAGCAGCATTGAGTAATGTCAAGGCAATACTGAAAGGTAAGGTAGATTTGGGAAGAGGGTAGTAGAGAAGTGGTCAGGGAATAAGCCAGTAGCAACAGACAACGGAATCATGGTAATGGTAGAGGTAGGTGGTCAAGATGATGGTAGAGTGGATGAATTTAAGATGAGCAGTGACCAACAACAATATGTGGTTTTACTGTGAAGTTAGAAAGAGCACTGCTGCTTCCCCTGACTGCATATTAGGATGAAGGTATTTGGCAAATTTAGCTTTGTAGTCACTGGCTGCATAAATACCTTGAAAGCTCTGATTAGGGCTGGAAGTCTTGCATGCAGCCACGCAGTGAGGGAACCTCATTCTGACATAAATCCACTTTATAGTTTCCACGTCTTTTTTGATTGACCTCTTATTAATATAGTATAAACATTTTTTTATGTTTCATCAATGCTTTTTCAAGGTATTCTTGGCCCTCTAATCACTCTTACTATTAGGGGCACCTTAGACTGGAAATGGAGAGTAGTAAGGTTTAGACTTATTCCCTTGAAAGAATAAACTTACGCTTACAACACCTATTGCACAGGTTTGAGTATTAACACCAATAACTACACATACACTTTTAAAATTATGTATACCTACAACCTCTGCAAATTTCATGCTTTTTATTAACTGGTGAAACATTTTACATTCATGAAAGCATTTAGAAAACTTAAATGCTTTATTTTATCATGCAATGATAGATGTTTAAAGACACTAAATAAATAAATAAGATTCTTGTAGAAATTTCTGTGTACCTTTACTTGCTATTAAATTGGAATTTTTGTCATAGTTATTGTGCAGTATTACAAATGTACTTTTCCAAAAATGTGATGGAAGCTTTCAAAATTTCAATAATATCTGATCAAGAAGGAAGTAAAGCATGAATTTATAGTAGGATTTCTTACCACTGTCTTCAGAATTTCATCTGGTACGTTGCGTCTACTGTTACATAGGGCATAGGCAGATGAGTGGCTAAAAATGACAGGGGCCTTTGAAATCTGTAGTACATCATTCATTGTCTTCATAGAAGTGTGAGCTAAATCGATGATCATTCCCAAACGGTTCATCTCGTGTATGATTTTCTTAGATTCAAAAAAGAGAGTAACAATTCAACTGTTTCACTCAAAGTATCACATTATGTTTGAATAGTTTCATTCTGCCTACTTGCAATCTTAGTTCCCAGTCTTACTGCCTGCCACCAAACAGAAAGTAGATTCTAGTTCAGTGAATGCTTTATTTACCATTAGGAGGATTGTTAACACAACTTTTACAGGTTATTTTATTGTACAGACTGATGCTCCACTTATTAACAAAATAACTTAAAAATATATAATTTGGTTTATTTATGATTTGAATGAAGAATTCCATAATAGTGTGGCTTTCATAGGTCTTCTTTATACCCAGTGCACTAAATTTGCAGGTCTTAAAATGATCTTCACATTATTTTTAAAAGCACCATGACCATCCAGACAGTCATAATTCAAGGGAAATTTTCATTACCACCAGCTTGAGGCAACTAAGGTCAACCATAAATCTCAGCTTTATCCCATCCTAAGAACAAAATTAATAAAGTGAATATTTTGAAGATTGAAATATCTTTTAGAATTTTAAGTGGCAAAGAGCAATATTTGCAGAGGAATGATCGTATATTGTTCACATACAAGCCTGATTGTTTGCCTTACTATCTATACAAAAATATCCCGATGGTGCGTTGTACACAGAAGGCCCTAACTATTTAAAATCCATATGAATCGTATTGCAAAACTGTATTTTGACTTAATGCTTTACAATTAATGGCTGGTTGATAAACCTATGCCAGGAACATGATTCCATTAAACTGCTACTATGCATTTGATAAAAAGGTGCAGGCAGACAAGTTCAAAAAGCCATGTGTCATTCTGGTTAATACAATGTCACAATCAATTGATGCAACGATGTGGTTCAAAGAGATCAACATCTACATTCAGGCTTGCAGGAAATTGCAAAAGTTTGTCAAACAAAATTCATCAAAAACTTTTCTCCTTGAAGTTTTGAAAAATCTATTCAACGTATGGATGGGGTTGGTACACAAATGCCTTGTATTTATGGAAAGAATGCAATGATTAACATATTCAGATTTGAAATCAAATATCCTTTAGCATTAGTGGCACATACTAACCTTTCCATATGTGGACAATCCATTGCTCTGAACTGGGTCATCTCCAGTGTCCACCAGCCAGTTATCCGCCCTGAAAGATTTGAAAAATTGGCCTTTTGTCTCTTGGGTGTGGATTCCAATGGAACTTAGACTTATAGGCTGAAAGCCTCCAGTGTTTGTTGGTTGACATGAGTCAGTCGGTTTTATTTGGTTATTTGTTGTGGCTTCAAGTGTGTCTAAGCCAACAGCACTAAACTGAATACACCTTGTCCTTAAACAAGTACATGATAAGTAAATATCTGTGAGTCTGCAGAGCTACAAACATGCAGGCATTAGACATCCATTAAGGCTTAATCCAGTGCTAAACTGCAAGTCTGATAGATATCAATAAAACAAAGGACCGCAGATGCTGGAAATCTGAAACAAGAACAGTAACTGCTGGAGAAAGTCATCAGGTCTGGCAGCATCTGTGGAGAGAAAACAGAGCTTAATGTTTCAAGTCCAGTTCTGAAGAAGGCTCACTAAACTTGAAACACTAGTTCTGTCTTCTCTCCACAGATGCTGCTAGACTTTTGGGGTTTTCTAGCAATTTCTGATAGGTACAATGTGTGCCAACAGTCAAGCTCAAGTAAAATGCTCCATTCTGTTCTGCTAATCACACTGTTGAAACTTGTGTGTCGATGTGTTAAGAGTTCAACATAAACTATCTCTTTAAACTTGTTCATTCACAGATGTGATCATTGTAGGTCAACGTTAACATAAGGAAAAAGGATCTGGAGTTGGCCGTTCAGTCCTTTGGACCCATCCCCCTACTCAATCAGATCATGCTGATTGACTTCAACACCATTTTCCTGCACAATCCTTTGGTGTTCCTAACATGGCAAAATCCATCAATCTTATTTCTGAACATAACTGAACAACGAATCATACACCACCCTCTGGGGCAGAGAATTCCAAAGATGCATAATCCTCTGAAATGAAAAACATGTTCTTTATTTCAGTCCTACATGGCCAGCCCCTTATTCTGAGGTGGTGTTCTTTGGTTCTACCCACAAAATGTCCCCTTCCCCCAAGCTAGGGGAAACATTGTTCCTGCATCTACCCTGTTGACTCTTGTAAAGATTTTTTAAAATTTTGAATGAGGCTGTATTCTTCTAAACTCCAAAAACTTTAGCCCACAATCTGTCTATTCTAGGTTTGGTGAACCTTTGTTGCACTCTCTCTATGGCATGTATATCTTTCCTTAGGTAAGGAGACCAAACAGTACACAACAGTCTAAGTGTGGTCACACTATAATTACAGGGAGGCATTTTTGCTCCTAAACAGTACACAAATCCACTTGTAGTCCAACATACCATAGCATTGCTATAGTGAGGAAAGAGGCCATTTGACCAATGGAGTTTGGACTGAACCTCTGAAGAGCATCCCACCCTGACCCAGCTCCCCGACCCTGTACCTGTATCCCTGCATTTCCCATGGATAAACAACCCAGCCTGCACATCCCTAGACAGTACGGACAATTCAGTATGATCAGTCCACCTAACTTGCACATCTTTGGATTGTGGGAGGAAACTGGAGTACCCGACGGAAACCCATGCAGACACAGGGAGAACATGTAAACTGCAACACAGACAGTCACCCAGGCTGGAATCAAACCCAGGATCCTGTCACTATGAGGCAGCGGTGCTAACCACTGAGCCACCCTGTCACCCAGTTGTCTTCTTAATTGTTGTACCTGTAAGTTTACATAAGTCATTAAAAGTGACCCACGATTAAAGGCACCCAAGTTCCTTTGAGGTTCAGCAATTGCCCTTGAAAAGATGGTGCTGAGCGTTCTACTGGAAATGCTGCTGTCTATGTGGACATTGCTGCATTCTTGGTGTTGTTAAGAAGGGAGTTCCAGAACGGTAAAGGAGCTGATATAAGGCTTGGAAGGTAACTAGCAAGTGGTGCTAGTTCTGTGTATTTGCTGCACTTATCCTGCTAGATGTAGATATTGCAGGTTTAGAAGGTGCTGTCTGAGGGGCTTTGCTAAATTTCTGCAGCTCATTTTGTACGTGGGCCACATTCCCATTACTGACCATCATTGGCAGAGGGGGTGAATATTGAAGGTATGTGTAGGGTGACAATTATACAGGCTGCTTTGTCAAGATTCTTGATTGTTCCAGACTTACCAAGATTTTACAGCGTGGAGAAAGGCCTTTGGCCTATCAGTCATCAAGCATGTATCCATTCCAATTCCGCTTTCCAGCATTTGGCCCATAGCCTTGTATTCTATGGGATTTCAACTGCTCATCTGCTTCATAAATGTCTTGAGGGTTCCTACCTGAATTCCTGTTATCCACCGCCCTCTGGGTGAAAACATATTTATACTCAAATTCCCTCTAAACCTCCTGCTCCTCACCTTAAAACTGTGCCCCCTGGTTACTGTCCGCCCTACTGAGGGGAAAATGTTTATCTTTATCTGCACCCGTCATAACTTTATATACCTCAATCAGTTCTCCCCTCAGTCTTTTCTGCTCTAAGAAAAACATGTCCCTCCTATAGCATGGTGACCAGAACTACGACAATGCTCCAACATGGTCTAACTAACATTATATGGCTTCACCATAACCTCCTTGCTCTTGTATTTGTAGCCTTTACTAATAAAGGGAAGTGTCCTGTATGCATTTTTAACTACCTTAGCTGCCTGTCCTGCTGCCTTCAAGGATCCATGGACATGCACAGCAAAGTCCCTCTCTTGTTGGAAGTGGACAAAGTCAGAAGTCGCATGACACCAGGTTATGGTCCAACAAGTTATCGTCCAACAGGAAATGATGATGTCTGTCTCTCCCACTTCACCTCTCGAGTTCAGTTCTTTAGTCTGTTTGGACACAGGCTATAATGAGGTCAGGGGCTGAGTGGTTCTGACAGAACCAATACCAAGTATCAGTGGGCATGTTATTGCTATGTAAGTGCTGCTTGACAGCACTGTTGATGACACCTTCTATCACTTTGCTAAGATTGAAAGGAGACTGATGGAGTGGTAGTTGACCGAGTAGGATTTGTCCTGCTTTCATGGGCAGGACATACCTGGGCATTATTCCACATCGTTTGGTAGCTGTCAGCATAGTAGCTCTACTGGAAGAGTTCAGCTAAGTGTACAGCTAATTCAGGAGCACAAATCTTCATTAAAAACTGCCAGAATGTTGCCTTTTCAGTATCCAGTGCCTTCAGCTTTTTCTTGATATCACGTGGAGAGAATTGACTTGGCTGAAGAATGGCACCTGTGATGCTGGGGACCTCAGGAGAAGGCCGGGATCAATCATCCATTTGGAACTTCCGGCTTTAGCCTTGCTTTTTGCATTGCTGTGTTGGGCTTCTCATCATTGGGGATATTTTTGTACAGCCTCCTCTTCCAGTGAGTTGTTTAATTGTCCATCACCATTCATGACTGGATGTGGCAGGGTTGCACAGTTTAGATCTGATGTTGTTCAATCGCTCTCTTCTGTTTATTGTATGCTGCTTTCATTGTTTAGGGTATAAGTATATAAGAACATAAGAACTAGGAGCAGGAGTAGGCCATCTGGCCCCTCGAGCCTGCCCCACCAATTAATAAGATCATGGCTGATCTTTTTGAGACTCCTCCACTTACCCGCCCGCTCACCATAACCCTTAATTCCTTTACTGTTCAAAAATTTATCTAGCCTTGCCTTAAAAACATTCAGTGAGGTAGCTTCAATCACTTCACTGGGCAGGGAATTCCACAGATTCACAACCCTTTGGGTGAAGAAGTTCCTCCTGACCTCAGTCCTACATCTGCTTCCCTTTATTTTGAGGCTATGCCCTCTAGTCCTAGTTTCACCTGCTGGTGGAAACAACCTCCCTGCCTCTATCTTATCTATTCCCTTCATAATCTTACATGTCTCTATAAGATCTCCCCTCATTCTTCTGAATTCCAATGGGTATAATCCCAGCCTACTCAGTCTCTCCTCATAATCCAACCCTCTCAACTCTGGAATCAACCGAGTGAATCTCCTCTGCACCCCCTCCAGTGCTAGTATATCCCTTCTCAAGTAAGGAGACCAAAACTGCACACAGTACTCCAGGTGTGGCCTCACCAGGACCCAATACAGCTGCAGCATAGCCTCCCTGTTTTTAAACTCCATCCCTCTAGCAACGACAGACAAAATTCCATTTGCCTTTTTAATTACCTGCTGCACCTGCACTCCTACTTTTAGCGATTCATGCACAAGGACACCCAAGTCCCTCTGCACAGCAGCGTGCTGCAATTTTTTACCGTTTAAAACATAGTCCATTTTGCTGTTATTCCTACCAAAGTGGATGACCTCATACTTATCAACATTGTACTCCATTTGCCAGACCTTTGCCCACTCACTTAGACTATCTATATCCCTCTGTACACTTTCAGTGTCTTCTGCACACTTTGCTCTACCACTCACCTTAGTGTCATCTGCAAATTTTGACACACCACACTTAGTCCCCAACTCCAAATCATCTATGCAGTAGCCTGCATTGTAGCTTCATCAAACTGATACCTCATTTTTAGATATGTCTAGTGCTGCTTTTGCCATGTTCACCTGCACTGTTCATTGAAACTTTGTACAGCATACGTGGACGGTCTTTGTAAACAGGAAAAAAAATCCTAACTCTGTCTTACCATGGTGTGTTACAGCTGTGTGTGAGGGTCATGTACCTCACGCCCAGCTGATAGAAGACACGTAGTGTAGCCATGTTGCTGTCAATCGAGTGTCCACCCTCTACACCAATTAAACTGGCCACTTTACCATTTTTGAAAGATTCATTGATTTCTGCATTCAAAAGAAATTACAGGTTATATCCAATAATTCACTTGGATTCAGAAAATTGACTTAGCACATCTATATTTGCAAACAGATTTCAGAACATTTCTATTTTTAATATTTACTCTAATTGTTTTATTTAGTTTGTTTTATTTAAGTTCAAAATATGTATTGAAAGCTAGATCATGCCTTGCTGCTGAACAGCTTTCTACCTTTCAAGTAATAATTCCTTATACAAATACACAAGAAGGGAAGGTTTTGTTGTATTCAATAACGAAAGACTAAGCAATGTAATAATAACAGGATATACTTGCGGCCTTAAATGAAAAATACAGATAACGTTGCTCAACAAGATTGAGTGGTACCAAACTTGTTGGCCATTGTGGGTAGACAGGTACCACAGATATGTTCCTGTGCAAACTGAACCCTGGTTAATGCAATGCTCTCCTGCTGATCTAGCAAAATCTATTGGAGTCAAAGACGGAAGACTCTGACTTTGAGCAACAACGTTTTAATACTTCCTATTGCTGCAGAGTTAGCCTCATGACATCCTAGTACTGGACGTCATCAAAACTGGGAGAACAGACTATACAGTATTTTCCAAATTAGAGCTTTAAGAAACTAAACTCACTGAAACTGGATGTGCAAGAATTAAATTTATGCTTTGGCCATTATTGTACAATGTCAAAATTAAAATTAATCTGTCATTTCCTTTCAGGGGTACAATATGCATGCAACATTGGAACAAACAGGCTAGATGGGCTGAATGGCTTTTTCTCATTTCATTAGACTGCAAAAACGTGCAATTTTGAAATGCTTTGTCAGAATAAGCACCACATTGATCTTGTATGCTGAATGCTGCAAGTTGCTGCACTGAATAACATGGCATGAATTTGTGCTGATAATGGTTCTAGTCATGATTGTCCATCAGAGGATGTGGTGAATGCAGTCTCAGGAACAGGTTATGTAGGCCATAAATAAATGAAATGTTAACATTTTAACTGAAACTGTTGACAATAGATAATAGAAATATATTAGATGCTGATTACTCACCTTTGGTTGAACTTACACACTGGAAAGTTTCTGGGTACATCTGACACATTCTGTGGATGACATCAATCTGCTCCAGTGTTTGTCTCACAGCATCTTTGTACTGGGTGTCACATGGTGTGTATGCTGACCAAAACTGGAAGATGATTCCAATTTAGAACTTTAACAAACTGAATTCACTGAAACAGGGTGTGCAAGAATTAAGTTTATATCTTGGACGTTAGTGAGTAATCTCGAAAATTGAATTAATCTGTTCAGTTCCTTTCAGGGGCACATTATGCATGGTGCACTGAATAAAACAAGTTAGTTGGGTTGAATGGCCTTTTCTCTTTCTGTAACAATACATGCTTTATATTCATATAGAGAATTATGTTCATTTGTTTCTGTGTAAAGCTGAATGACTGACAACAGATTGAAAGATGGATAACAGGATAGTTCCATTGGAGTCCTCAAAGACTAATGTGAAATTTATTTCACTGATCCTCATCCAATAAAAAAACTTGTTTTAAAAATTCTTTTCCTATGATTGCAAAGGGTCTGAAGATCCCACGTGTGCTGGAAACCTAAACCTAATTGTAACTATTCTGATGGACAGATATCTGCTGCTACTCATTGCAGCAAACTGGTGATGGACAAGGATTCAATGATCTAATGGTGTCATGAAAGGAAGTCCAATTAGTTCCAAACATATCCTGGAATGTCTTGAAATCATCCCATTATGATTATCTTCTAAGGAAACGACTGAAACAGCTATAGCTGCCATCCCAGAAGTCACAAATGTCATCAGAATCCTCTGACACCCAGTTATTGGACTGACTGCTTCATATTCAAGGATGTTCTACATGGCCTGACATAGACCCTGGATAGTGTTGCTCATGCACAAAGTGGACTCCTTCAATTTATCTACATTTCTAGCACATGTATGGCAACTATTGTCACTAAGTGCATGCTAAATATGCTCCCATATCATTATTATTTTGAAGAAAGGGCAACATGGCACCCTTTAGACCTACAGTTTGTTCATGAAATTTACCTTAGGTGGGTAAAGAAACCAAATCATCTTTAGAAGGATTAATTTATGTCGACTATCAACTCTCACTTTTTAGATGTTACAGGTCAGACTTGCATCAGACTCAAGCATCTGGAAATAGCAACAATCCAGTGTACAGTACTTTGGCTGTGTGCTTTAGCAGCTCCCCTCTTACTTTTCAATTTCTTACTTCCCCTGATGTGTGCCTTCTGAGGGCTTGCACTGTTTTATCATCATTTACAATTAATATTCCTGTTCTGGTTGATACAGTAAATATTCTATTAATCTTTGGGACCAGGAGTGCACAGATTGATCGAATATTCCGGATAATCAAGAGCTCCATGGAATCAATGTAAAAACACACACTAACTACAGTAATAGAAACGTAATGCTGGGGGTATACTTTATTTACAGCATAAATCACTTAAATAATAATGCAAATTTGCCTTAAATAAGACTTACCAGCAGAAAGCCTTCTCACTCATACCCTCAACTGACTACTCAGACATTGCATTATTGAAGGAGAAATTGACTCGAACTTGAATCAACTGTTGATATTTCGTGTGGCCATTCAATTGAACAAGTATATTTATATTGAGGTAAATAAATTAAAAAAACTATAATAACTGGACAGAATAACACAGTTAACTTTGCAGTATTTGAGGTATGTAATTGTTGCTAGTTTATCAAGAGTGCCGGTTTGTAACGAACTGGTCAAAACAAAGTTGGCTGTAATTCATAAACTCATAAGAAATAAGGGCAGAATTAGGCCATTTAGCCCATCGAGTCTGCTCTGCCATTGGATCATGGCTGATATGCTCCTCACACCCATTTTCCTGCCTTCTCCCCATAACCCTTCAACCCATTACCAATTAAAAATCTGCCTAACCCCCCCTTAAGTTTACTCACTGTCCCAGCATTCACTGCACTTTGGGATAGCGAATTCCACAGATTCACAATCCTTTGGGAGAAGTAGTTTCTCCTCAACTCTGTTTTAAATTTGCTACCCATTATCCTAAGACTATGGCCCCTCATCCTAGAATGCCCCACAAGAAGGAGCATCCACTTTTGATTCAGAGATAGTAGGAACTGCAGATGCTGGAGAATCCGAGACAACAAGGTGCAGGGCTGGATGAACACAGCAGGCCAAGCAGCATCTTAGGAGCAGACAGGCTGACGTTTCGGGCCTAGACCCTTCATCAGAAAAGGGGGAGGGGAAGGGGGTTCTGAAATAAATAGGGAGACAGTGGGAGGCGGATAGAAGATGGATAGAGGAGAGGATGGGTGGAGAGGAAACAAACAGGTCGAAGAGGCGGGGATCGAGCCAGTAAAGGTGAGTGTAGGTGGGGAGTTAGGGAGGGGATAGGTCAGTCCAGGGAGGACGGACAGGTCAAGGGGGCAGGATGAGGCTAGTCGGTAAGAGATGGGGGTGCGGCTTGAGCTGGGAGGAGGGGATAGGTGGGAGGAAGAACAGGTTAGGGAGGCGGGGACGAGCTGGACTGGTTTTGGGATGCGGTAGGGGGAAGGGAGATTTTGAAGCTTGTGAAATCCACATTGATACCATTGGGCTGCAGGGTTCCCAAGCGAAATATGAGTTGCTGTTCCTGCAACCTTCGGGTGGCATCGTTGTGGCACTGCAGGAGGTCCAGGATGGACATGTCGTCTGAGGAATGGGAGGGGGAGTTGAAATGGTTCGCGACTGGGAGGTGCAGTTGTTTATTGCGAACCGAGCATAGGTGTTCTGCAAAGCGGTCCCCGAGCCTCCGCTTGGTTTCTCCGATGTAGAGGAAGCCACACCGGGTACAGCGGATGCAGTATACCACATTGGCAGATGTGCAGGTGAACATCTGCTTGATGTGGAAAGTCTTCTTGGGGCCTGGGATGGGGGTGAGGGAGGAGGTATGGGGGCAGGTGTAGCACTTCCTCCTCTATCCATCTTCTATCCGCCTCCCACTCTCTCCCTATTTATTTCAGAACCCCTTTCCCTCCCCCATTTCTGATGAAGGGTCTAGGCCCGAAACGTCAGCCTTTCTGCTCCTATGATGCTGCTTGGCCTGCTGTGTTCAGCCAGCCCTGCACCTTGTTGTCTCTTATCCACTTTTGATTGTTCCTTTTTGAATTTTCTTGAGTGCTTATTGTGGGCCACCTATTCCTGCACATGTAGAAAAACATAAGAGATATGAATTTGGTTAACGACTGCATTTACTCTCACTAGTCATTTTTTCCTTTATTCATTCATGGGATGAGGGCATCACTGGCCAGGCCAGCATTTATTGCCCACAGGGCAGTTAAGAGTCAACCACATTGCTGTGGGTGTGGAGTCACATATAGGCCAGACCAGGTATGGATCGCAGTATCCTTTCCGAAAAGACATTAGTGAACCAGATGGGTTTTTCCAACAATCAGCAGTGGATTCATGGTCCTCATTGGACTCTTAATTCCAGATATTTATTGAATTCAAATTCCACCATCTGCCGTGGTGAGATTTAAACCCAGATTCCCCAGAACACTATCTGGGTCTCTGGATTAACAGTCCAGCGATAATACCATGAGGCCATTGCCTCCCCATCTGCAGTGGTCTGCATCCAAACGATGATGATACTGCTTTTGGATGCAGGCTAGTTTTAGTTATTGCTTACACTACCATTTTTGTGTTCTGAGAGAATACACTGGTTATGAAATGAAAGCGTCGTTTTAGTGGTTCATGAAGTTTCTTGTGAGTATTAAAAGTTGACATTCAGCCATTTATCTACACTGTGACATGTCTGGTTGATGTGGAAGTGGGTCATACCACAATAATTCTTACAGGAAGTATGTGGAAACTTGTTCTTTTACTTACCTTGGCATTTCTTAATGTCATTAAGACTCAATGGGCTGAAGGGCCTTTTCTGCGCTATATGGTTCTAAACCGTTTCTGACACTGTCACTGTAGATGGTGTAATCAGGATAATACTGACTGCCCTGTCATTTATTCTTATAATAACTGTACCACTGTTTTCCAGGGTTTCCTTTTATTAAATAAAAGGCACAGAAATTCAAATTATTGAATGAAGTTTCTCAACAAATAAACTTTAGTTTATGTGAAACTCCAGCTATTCATTTGCATACTTTCTCACTTTGCATAATGTTGCAACACTTTTCCAATAACCTTGATATGTTGGTTGAGGTAGCGACAAGACTAGCAACTTAATATTTGAGGTATAGGATCTTCAGACATGATGGGAGGGTGCAAAAGTGGAGGTGGTGTTGCATTATTAGTCAGGAAATCAGATACTGCAATAAGGAGGGAAGGGTCATCAAATAAGGCTTTGTTGGTAGAACTTAGGAATGAAAAAGGGGGCAGTTACACTGTTAACAGTGTAGTAGAGGACTAGAGGGCGGTTAACAGATCTACTCCAAAACCTTATAGTTCCCCTTTACAAGAAGGGTGTTGGATAGACCAGAGAACTATAGATCAGTGAGTCTAATTTCAGTGGTAGGGCAACAATTGGAAAAAAAATGTGAAGGAGAAATTAACCTCCATTTAGAGAGGCAAGGTTTGATCATGGTTTTTCAGAATGGCTTTGTCAGAGGAGGTTATACATAACAAATCTGTGATGTGGAGGTGCCGGTGTTGGACTGGGTGGACAAGGTCATAAATCACACAACACCAGATTATAGTCCAACAGGTTTATTTAAAAACACAAGCTTCCGAAGCATATCTCCTTTTTCAGCTGAAGTGAGAAAGAAGCACACAGAACACAGAATGTAGAAGTAAAAGATCAAAGGGTCCCACAACTGATGAGAGATAGTAAGAACTGTTGGGATGTGTTAAACAAACCTAAGATGCTGCTAAATCTTTAATCAGTTAGAAGGTTTTAATTGATTAATATATATGTGTAAATTCCCAAATTTCTTTCAAGTCACTGCCCTGAGAGAACTAAAAGTTTTGTCATTGTAAAGAAGAGGTGACATTTTTGGTCAGACAATGCATATTAGGTGTGGGGACTTGTTTAAAGTCTGTTTGTGTTTTGGTTTGGAGTCAGGCTGGTTTTATTTCTAAATTAGGAATTTATAAAATCTCACATTGACCAACTGTCTATTATTGTGTGCTTTTTGAACAAAATAAAATGTATAAGCAAATACAAGTTCACCCCATAGATTTAAAGATGTGTGTGTATGTGTGTGTGAGAGAGAGAGAGAGAGGAGGGAGTATGTGTGTGCGGGTGTGTGTGCACATGGGAGAGAGAGAGAGTGTGTGTTGATGGGGGGGTGTGGAGTGAGAGAGAGTGTCTGTGTGTGTAAGTTGGAGATAGAGACAGACAGAGTGTCTGTGCGTGTGTGTGTATATGTGTGTCAGAGAGAGTGAGTGTGTGTGTTTGAAGGGGGGAGGAGAGAGAGAGATAAAGTGTGTGTGTTGGAGGGGGAGAGAGAGAGTGTATGTGTGTGTGGTGGGGGGTAGGGTAGAGAGAGTGTGAGAGTGTGGGAGAGAGAGAAAGAGTGTGCGTTGGGGGGAGAGAGAGCGAGAGAGTGTCTGTGTGTGTGTGTATGTGTGTCACAGAGAGTGAGTGTGTGTGTTTGAAGGGGTGTGAGAGAGAGAACGAGTGTGTTGGGGTGGGGAGGAGAGAGAGAGAGAATGTGTATGTTGGGGGAGGGAGTAGAGACAGTGTGTGTGTGGGAGAGAGAGAAGGAGTGTGTGTGTATGGGGGGAGAGAGAGAGAGTGTGTGTGTGAGAAAGAGAGTTAGAGATACAGAGACAGAGTGTCTGTGCATGTATGTCCGTGTGTGTGTTTGTCAGAGAGAGAATGTGTGTGTGTTTGAGGGGGAGAGAGAGAAAGAGTGTGCATGTGCATGGGGGAGAGGGGGTAGAGTGTGTGTGTGTGGGAGAGGGGGGAGAGAGTGTGTGTGTTTGGGAGAGGGGGGAGAGAGTGTGTGTGTGTGGGAGAAGGGGGAGAGTGTGTGTGAGTATGGGGGGGTGTTGGAGAGTGTGTGTGTGTGTGCGGGGGGGTTGGAGAGTGTGTGTGTGTGTGTGTGTGTGGGGGGGGGGG